TTCTGGGGCCCCGGGTGGTGGAGGTTTGAGGAGGTTGGGGTCGAAGGAGGACCCGGGGCCGGGAGGGGACATTTTGACCTCTCCCCCCCCCCCCCCCCCCCCCCCCCCCCCCCCCCCCCCCCCCCCCCGCCCGCTGCCTACATATGTCTCCTGTTATCCTCGCAAGACCAACGCTGGCGCATAAATGGCTCGGATCAGAGAAGTCCTCTTTCTCTTGGGCGTTAAGTCCATCCATTGTCGGGAGTTCTACGTCAATAACATCGTCTTCGACAGCCACGGGCTGGCCAAGCTTTGAGCAGGTCAGCCGGTCGAAGAGATAGAGAGACCACCAGATGCGCCGTCGCGACTCGCGCTCTACCGCACTAATGTGTATGGACGAGGTCGACCTGTGCATGCCCAGGCTGAGCGCGATCCTCATTGCGACGCCTGAATGCGTATAGGCAGATCTGATCCGACCCAACGCATTCGAGTAACATGCCTGACGGAATCAGCAGATTGATCTATGCGAGACAGGGTTGACAGGGTTAGGACGGACTCACCAACAGCAGGTAGACCTCGACGTGCAGGGTCGTGGCCTCCTCGTACTGGTCTTGCAATACGCTCATGGCCGTGGCAAAATAGTTCTCGCCCGGGACCTGGTCGATGCTGCCCCGGCGCTGTCGATTCGAGTACAGCTCGCCAAGAGCAAGCAGGACAAAGAATTTGCACAGCCACATGGCGCTGGGCTTGGCATCCTGCTGGTAGACACTCTCGAGCTCCTCCATGTACGAGTTCAGGTACAGGTGCTGGCCATTTCCGATGAACCTCTTGGCCACCTGCAGCAAGAGCTTGGCATGGATCCGGTCGGGTAGGGCGTAATCGACGCTGGCCTCGCACCCGAATAGGCCGTTCTTGATATACTTCGGTGTGGCTGGCAGCGAGCTGACATCTTTCTTGTTGAGCGACTGCAGGAGCCTCTCACGAAAGGCATCGCACGCCGCCTCGCCGATAAATGGCGGCTCCGTCACCATCTGGGTGCACGGCTGGATCTGACGCGCATCGAATAAGGGATTCACAACCTCGACGTCCGGCCCCGGCGCAGGCGCCAGCGCCAGCGATTCCAAACGCTGGTCGTCCTCTTCAGAGCTCTCGACCTGGCGGTGCCCGACTGCATCCCGATATTTGAGAGCATCCGAGTCGGCCTGCAACTGCTTGAGGTAGCTGCCGAGTGTCAGCAACACGAACAGGCTGGAAGAGAAGCACCCGGGGGGGGGGGGGGGGGGGGGCCACCACACTCCCCGGTGGGTTTTGTTTCACAAGACCGGCCGCCCATGGAAATAGCGGTCCCGGGACGGAGCGCCGGGGCCCCAGCCCCCGCGCCGGGG